ACAAGACTAACTAGTAAACATCAATATAAGATTTTAGTAACTCCCTATCTAATAACTCTACTTATTCATTAAATGAACCTGTACAATACTTATTGTCATATTATATTTACTATAATCACTATAGCTAAATAATCACTTATAGAACATTCAGCCTGTTGAGGGTTAAATTTCTCAGATGGCGGTATGGGGAATAATTTTTTAAAATGCATTTTCACCCTTGAAAACAAGAGGGGACATTATCCAAGTAGTCTCTGAACTATGGAAATACCTTGAGATTTATTTTAAAATTCTATTAAATTCTAATTAATAGAATTTTTATTTGCTGGATAGTTTTGAAAAACTGAGCACCCAAGCATAGATATTAGAAATTTTTTTTTAGTAATTTTAAGAGTAATGCCACTTTTAGGTTAAATATACATATGGAAAGAGATCAAATCATAATTTAGAAGCCAGATTTAAAAAAAAAAAAAAAAAAAAGACTTCACTGTTAAGGTATAAACTCATTTTGCAATCTAGTCTTTAAACTTTTTAAAAATTCAGATACACTAATGAAATTCTGTTATCAGACTTAGAATTCATTTAAAATATCAAATATTAGTAACAATTCAAAAATATTATATAAGTCAACAACAGAGAATATTTTCTTGCAAAATTCTTCTGCAAATGAAAAATATAAAAAATCCTGTCTGTTATATATTCTACAGCTATCTTCTGATTTCTCAAGAACTTGACTATTTAGAAACAATGTAGGAAAAAACTGGCTAATGTAAAACAGAATTCTTCCAGACTATTTCATTAAACTGACAATCCAGACTAATGCACATAATTTTTATTGTATCCAAACCAAAAAAGGCCTACACTTAAGAGAAATCATCAGTTGTGTGACAAGGTTTTGCTAAATCTTATCTTTTTTTTATTTTTTATTTAGCAATGGGTAGCAAAAGAAAATAATTAATATTAATAGATAATGGCAGAAAACTACAGAAATTCCAAATACAAAAAAGCTGTTCATGTATCCCAACAGCATAACCATTATGGTTGAAAAACCACACAATATTCTTTCTCACATCTGTTTTGTTAATGAGCCAAGAATGAGGGTCTATTAAGTATCCTAGACAACTGAATTAGAAGTAGGAATGTCTGGTGAATACTGTTCATCCCAACAAACTAAGACTAAGCAGGTTTAAAAAAGATACTATTGTTAAATTATCTTTGTAGTTTTACCTTTATAAAAATAGAACTATCACTTGCCTTTTTCCCCTTATCCATTAAAAAAGAAAACAACTTGTTACTTAAGATCTTAGTTTTAAATATTATAAGAAAAAATGTTTTGTTAGATGAACAAAATATTTATTTAATTCATCTTTCAGGTAGACCTTCAAGTATTTTAAGACTATGGAAACCAATGTGAAAAAAAGCTGTTTGTGAAATAAAGAAACTAGAATCTAACAGCTTATGACAATTTGGCAAGAATTCTACTCTGAGCTAGGGTTTTTCCACATACAACAGAGAACTCTTCCAGGAAATGTCCCCTTCATAGGGCCCCATGTCTCTTTGCATACTTATCAGCCTACGCTTATAGAATCAAACAAATACAATGTTCCCAATGGACAATATAAATTAATATAAATTAATTCTAAAACATCAATCTATTTCATAAAATTCTCCAAAAGAGCAAAAGGAGGTAGACTCTAGAAATCATTTCATTCAAACCACTTTCCTACATTACTTAATTTCATTTTTTTTTTTTTTTAACTAAAAGATTTATTAGTTTGGAATCTGGTTTAAAAATCTAAAGAGTGGTCACATGAGGTTGATGAAATCATGGATAAGTTTTAAGTCTTCATCGTGTTAACTGAAATACATTTGAAGGTTACATGTATGTTCTTTTTTCCTTTAAAGTCTTTGTTTAGAAAAAAAAGTTATTTCTTGCCCTCTTTTTAGTTTTCCCTCAGGGTGTCACTGTTATAGAAATTAAATTCTAAAAAATCAAAATAATCTTGTACATTTTTATAAGTCCCACTGCCAATCAAAACCAAATACCGCGCCCCCCTCCGACACAAAGTTATAATGGCCACTCCAGAGCACTGCAAACTAAAATTTAAGTGATAACCAAGTAGACAAAACAAACCTTTTCCATGTGCAAAATTAATGCCCTCCAGATAGAACAGCATTTTGACTTTTTTTTTCCCCAAGACAAAAACCTACAAGTGAGAAAATTTATACAATAAAAATACTTCCCAAAGTGATTAGATTTATTGTAAATACTCAACTGAGAACCTAATGGTATTTTTTTTTAGTATTTTGAATCCACTTTTATCTACTTCATTCAAATCAAGCTTCTATACATGAAATTTTTGTTCTCTTGGAACTTGTTCCCCAATGACTTTTCTTACTAAAGAATGCAGAGGCCTAAATTAACTATTATTCAAACACAAATTTAAGAGCATAATTAAGAAATATAGTCTATTCAATTTTGCAACATCGTACAAGGCAGCTACCAAACTGTCAAATCAATTTATATACCATTAATTTAAAGGTAAATGTTTTTCTTCCATTGGTAGGTAAGTACAATTCCAGTGGCCCTAAGCAGTAGTCTGACCTTACCTAAAAATACAGACTAGAATAGTAAGGTCCTAAAAAGCAGCTCCTCAGAAATGATATCTCTATGAACATTTCTGCTTCCCCTATTCGTACTTTATTTGGAACTAAAACATAACATATACTCTTAGTCCAGTTGTAATTAAGCAATAAAAAACAGGGTTTCATCAAAGTTCCCCTAACGAGTCAAAGGCATGGATGCTAAACTATTTATTATTATTTAAAACCCAATTGTGCCAGCTTTTTTGGTTAATTCAAAGTTCATAGGTCAGTAGATTATACAGGACACCCTTAAAAATCACTTAAAATATCTCATGGATAAGAGAAGAACAGGCAAATGTTAACTTTTAGTGAGGAATGATTCACTAAGAAACTATAGGACCTGTATTCAAAGTCCTCCAATGTAAACACGTTTAAGTTTTCTATGTATCCACAAACAAACCCTTAAAATTTAACATATCCTGTCATAAGATGATTCCTGAGAATCTCCACACCAAAGAAAAACTTAGAACTGGAGAGCCAGAAGCCAACACTGACTTAACAGACTATTAGAGAATATTTACATCTTAAATTTTTAAACCAAAACATGTATCTGTCAAGTTCTTGATTTAAAACTTAGTTGCACATTTTTCCCAACTGTGCTTTCAATTTCATATGTAGTGTAACAATTGTATGTAAGTTTCAGGAAGAATGAAAATAATGAAGATATTGAGCTAAATTATACCTTATCTTCATTATTAGAATATAGTCACTCATGTATAAACTGCACTGAAAATAAACTTTGCATTTCAAGACGTCCAATTCTTAGCTCAAGAATTCACAGGAGCATTTACTGAATCATCCTTGGCTAGCTGGACCAGTTGGCTAGGTGGTTTTACTTCAGAAGAATTTTCTAAGATGTTATCCATATATTTGGGCATAATTTCATATGAAAACCTCAAAGTTGAAAAAGAAAAAAACTTTAAAAATTTTTGAAAAATCTTTAAAAGTTTTAGGATTAATAAAGTGTTTAACGTTCATGTTTTGTTTTCCAGGCTTGTCAACAGAACAGTTATATAAAAATCACTTATAGACCCAAATCATCACATTCCTTAAAGAATACAGTAGAAAGTTGAAAACCAAAGGCAGGATACGGTTTTTTGGAAATTCACAAATCAATGATAAACAAAGGAGACTAAAACTTTTCACAATCCGGACAACCTTCCCTTTTTAATTAGATGTGAAGGGGAAAAAATTAAGCATGCAAAAGAGATGGTACAAATTGATTAGAGAAAACTCCATATACTAAAACTTGTAATAAATCCCCTCACTACCCCACCTCTACAATTTCTGAGTGCTTTTGCATCCACCCGACAAATTATATTCCTCAATCAACAAATTATCATTATGTCACTGATTTCTTTTACTTAAATTATTCTTATCTCGTATTCAGGTACCTCCCAAACTGGCAAGATGAGATGTGAGATTCAGGGGCTTAGTAACAAGACACCCCCCATAGCCAATATTTTGAAAATTAACTTATAAATTCTTGACTGTCTGGATGAAGCATACTTTCAAATTTAACATACCATATAAACGATCCTTTGAAAAGCAAGCCATTATGTAACTAATATCTACTTTATGTCCCTGAATTACTTGAGAACCATAAAGAGTGCTTTTTCCTTTAAAATAACTACTGCCCAAGTTGTAGTTTTTTCTCGACTACCGTTTTGTCCAAAGAGAAAAAGGTTTCTTAACTTCTCAATTTCCAAAAATATGACAGCCGCTTCTCTAAGGAATAGTGAATGAAAAATAAAATACTGTCAGCAACTTTAAGATCCACCTCCTCACATAAGCAGTGATCCAGGCTGGTATGACATTTCCAAGATCCTCAGGAACTATATTCCATGCTGCCTGCTCGCGACACTGCCACAAACATCAGAAGAGAACTTGGGGATGGCAGAAATGCCATCTTACATATGCACTTTATACAAGCTATTTTAAACTTAATTTCATCTGTTATCTCACTGTATCTTCATAACTACCTCAAGAGGTACGGTAGAGTGTTGGTCGCCCAGCGCCTCTACGGGACACACAACCCGGTTAAAAGGACACGCACACCGTTACCTCTCCGACTGGAATAACAAAAACGAAGGCAAACCCTTCTAAACGCCAGGAAAAGAAGAATGTCGCCGAGAGAACCCCAAACTTCAATACTTTCCTCTCCCCCCAGTTTCGCCTACTCAGTGGCTCCGGGGAACTGCGGCGGGGCTGCGGGAAGGCGGAGGAGGGGCCGGGTGGGGGGCGGAGAGGGGGAGCCGCCCGGACAGCGTTCACCTCGCGCCCCGAGGCCGGCTGAGGGAGCGACGATGCTCTGGAGACACCACCACAGACCGAGCCAGAGGCTCTCCCACACTCACCTGCGGAGCCGATTTCCATTCATGGAGCTGGGGGGAGTGCTTCGAGCGAGAAGGGCGCCCGCCACTGGGGGCCAGGAGGCGGTGCAGGGGGCGACGCGGAGCGACAGGCACTCTCACTCGGCCTCGAGGCGGGGTGGCGACGGCTTCTTCTCAGCAACTGCACTCCGAAAGCTCTCGCCAGGAAGAGCCGCCGTCGGGAGGCAGCACGCGACTAGGCGAGAGGAAGGAGAAGCGTGAGACGAGAGAGGCGCTCCGTACGGAACTTGCGTCGCCCGCGGCCGCTTACGCTGCCGCTGCCCCTCCACGACTGCGGCGCAGCCGCCGCCGACCTCCCTGGGGGCCGCCCCCGGAAGCCCGCTGGCGTCAGTTCCGCTGCCCGGGATCGCCCGACGTCCAAGCCTCGCCTCTCCGTCCCAAGCCGTGCGGGCGCGACGTCGGTGCGGACGCGGCTGGCGCTGAAGACGCAAGGGAGGAGTTGGGAGGGGGCGGCGAGCCTGGGCGGAGTCTGGGCACGCGCAGCGGGGCCCGCCCTCCCACGGCCCTCCCACGGCCCTCCCCTGGGCTGTGCTGGCCCACTACAACCCCGAGGGGCGGGACTCTTCGCACCACCCTGGTGCGGACCCGTGCCTGCCTGCGACGTCGCGGAGGGCGGTAGAGCTTACCTGAGGAGGAGCCTACCTGGAACGGGGCTGGCCGGAGGCGCAGGGCCACCCACCTTCCCATGCCCCTCCCTCCACGCCTCCTCAACATGCAGCCAAGTAACCACAATTGAACACGCTAAGTCCACAGGGCTGCTTTGACGACCATTTGGGGGAGAGGGGATGTACAATTTAGCTGAAGAAATGATTAATAGACAGGACATTACACAAATATCAGATCGAATAACTTCCATTTTTAAAACTCTTTAATAGTGCCTCGTCACACTGACATCCAAACTCCTTTCCAGGGCCAAAACGCACGGCGTAACGGTGGCCCCGCCTTTCTCAAGCTAGACTTTACTATGCTACAGCTATACTGGTCCGCTTCTAATTCCCCTAGCCCATCTTTCCAACAATGAGCCTCTCTACTTTCCGGTTCCTTCGACCAGGAACATTCTCTCCACCCTCGCCCCTTCTTTTTATACCTCAACTTAAGACTTATCTCAGAGAAGCCTTTCCCGGTATGGTGGGGCACCCGTTTTTCTATCACCGTATTTTCTTAATCCTGTTCCAACTTGTAATTTGTTTTACTACTTTATTGTGTGACCCCTCCCTCACTAGAATGTAAGCTTTATTAGATTACCAGGAGCAGCACATTAACTGGCAAATAGTAGGCCCTTACTATGTTATCTTTAATGCAAGCTTATTTTATTTAGGCCCACTCGACTTTTCCCTATGTCCCTAAGCATCAGTAATGTTGTTTAGACTTTTCAAAGTTAAAGTACATTCTCCTTTTAAAAAAAAAAGCTTGGGCTAAAGAGGAGAAAGTATCCTATCTTCAACTCTTCCCCCTCCCTCCCCCCAATCACAGCGGAACTATAGACCAGTTACTTGAGCCTCTGGGCTTCAGTTTCCTCCTCTTAAAAATGGAGAGAACATGTGTTGTGAGGTTAGGGAATGTATATAAAGCACAGAGAACTCTCCCTAAATGTCAGTGAATAAAAAAGTATTTACTATAGTTACCATTTTAAAGCACTTATTGATACACCTACCGTAAACACTTCATAGATGGATGGGATTAAAACCCACATCAGACTCCGATTCTTTCACTTCTTCCTTTCCATCCTTAATCCTTTTTACTGAAAATGTCCTCCCCGACTTTAAAATGTCAAATTAAATGTCACCAGATAAAACATGGTATCTTCAAAGCCATTTTCAATCTTTGACAGTACACAATCCAAGTCTATAGCAGCATCTGACAGTAAATATCAACTGTTGTGCAAGAGTCTATCACACCTTCAACCCACAATTTTAGGACTGATTCCCTAAATGACTGCAGGCTTCTTCGGCATGGTGATGGTGATGAACCGTGGAGGTGGGCCACTGTCTTCTTTGACATGGATAAAGCAGGAGTTAGACCTTTTAATTAGGTCCAATTTAATAAATGTCAATGATGCCTTCCCATCTACTACTGCTTTAGAATGAACCCATGTGAAAGGTTCATGAATTGTACTATCAGGAATTGGGAAGGCCAAAAATGTTTGAATGATTCTGCCAAAAGTAAAGTTGTATGAGGCTTTCCTTGACCACACGCACACCCTATTTTTGGATAACCTCATTCTCAAATGAGTCTTGCTCTTAAGGGCATAAAACGGGGTCTTTGTGCAACTTGTTAAGTGTCATAGACCCAGAACAGTGCCAGAGCCTAGCCCATAGCAGCATTCTGTAAATATATGTGGGATGCACGGATGGATGGAGAAATGAGTGGGTTTCAAGAATGGGATTCAGGAATCAGGCTAAAACTCTGCCCTCATCCCATGTGGCACTGGTTGTTCTCAGAAGAGAGAACTATAAAACAGTACAGAAATCTCAGGGGCAAGGAAATGAATGCCTGCTGAAAGTTGCATTCCTAAGATTTCCGTGCTAGATAAACATCACCACTGAATGAGGAGAGCAACTGGATAGAATCTTCTCCCCTCACGTGGATTAAAGTTAGTCAATTTGACATTTGAGTTCAAATCTCTTCTCCTATACCAGAAGTTTTTAGAACAGCAGAAAGGAAGCTACAGTTGACCTCTAACCAACACAGTAGTTAGAGGGGTCAACTCCTGTGCAGTTTAAAACTTGTGTATGACTTCTGGCTCCCCAAAAACTTAACTACAGATGTCCCTCAGTATGCTGGGGGGATTGGTTCCAGGATCCCCTGTGGATACCAAAATCCATGGATGTTCAAGTCTCTTATATAGAATGGTATAGAACAATGTATATAGTTGACCCTCCACATCTGCAATTCCCAGCCAGAGGTTGAAAATACTGTTTTTTGATCTGCAGCTGGTTGAATCCGTGGATGCAAAACCTGGGGATACACAGGGCCGACTGTATGTTTATAGAAAAAACCCACATATAAGTGAACCCACACAGTTCAAGCCTGTGTTGTTCGAGGATCAACTGTACTTTGTATTGCAGTAGGTCATAATATAAAACATATTGGCTTTAGAGATAGAGCTGAGAGTGAAGGCCCTCTGCTACTATCTGTGATCCTAGGAAGTTAATCTGAGCCTCACATTCCTCATCTGTAAAAAAACAGAGGACTATGTAGACCAGACACTGCTGGATACCCAATCAAGAGCCTTTACCCGCTTCTTTCTTGCCTAACAGACATGACTTGTCTTTCCAATCCATATGATTTAGAGGATAACTCCTAATTAATCTAAGTCGCTCGTGATGGATGATCTCATTTGCTTTGCCAATGACAGGAATGGGAAGATGACCTATTTCTAGCATATGAAACTTGAGGACAGATGTGTTGAGGTTTCCAGGGATTTTCTTACTTTAAATGAAACACTGTAAGACAATGTTGTGTCAGCATTTCCTTTCTGAAATTACAGTAGCCATCTTGGGACCCTGAGGTGAACCAGCATGAGGATAAACCAACATAGAGGATAGCAGAGCAAAAAAAACTGCAAGAACCTGGTTTGTTATTATCATTAAGCCACGAATTAACCAACCTCATAGCCATATTAAATCAGGACTTCTTGTCATGTAATAATTTCCTTATTTAAGCCAACTTAATTGGGGTTTTGTTATATGCAATTGGAGGTAATTGATAAACTACTTCACATGAAGGCTGTGAAGATGCAATTAAATAAGATAAACAGATATTGTACAAAACACCTAGCCAAGTATTCAAAGAACCGAAGACCTTCCTTTTCCAGTTCACTTCCATTAACTCATAGGCCTTTTCCAAAAAACTGACTGGGAGCTCCCACTGCCTCTTTTAAGGAGAATGTTACTTGCCTTCAGAAGGTGGGGAATAGGAACAGAGGGCTCCCTACAAGGGGGCCCTCAAGATTTTTTGTCCCAAAAAGATATTGCCAAGAGGATAGTGTTGAAGCTGCTGCAGTCCAGAGCAAGAAGATGGTGTGTTCCAGCACAACAGGCCACACTGGCCTAAAAAACCTTGATACAGTATGCTGGGGAAGGCAGTCATGGTGCTTAAGTGGGGAAGTTCTAGAATGTACCTCATCTCCAACAAGTCCACTTTTTCAGCTCCTCCTTGACAGAGCTACTTTATAGAGTGCTCTGTCATGCTCTGTGCACATTTTATACTTGCCAGGTTTCTTTAGCCTGTATCCCAAGGAATAAATGTTTTGAAAGCTAGCAACAAACAGGGAGAGCTACTTGCTACGATTCAGTGCTACCTGCCAGTCAAGCAGTACAGACAGCAGTCTGGGGATGGCTCAGACTCAAAACTTGAAAATAGTCTTCTTTTTGTACTATAACCCTTTCCTTCAGCCACCAAACCCAAACTGCCATGAAATCCCGGGGTCTGCAAAGCCAAGAGATACTCAACAAATAAACGGCCTCACTCTACTCCAAGCCACTTGTTAGACAAGAATGTGCTATATGTTATCAATTGACAAGGCAGAGAGGGACAGCTGTTAAAAGCAATACTGAAACGGGATGTCAAGCCTTAACTTGAGCTCCAGGACCAGACAAATCAAGCTCTGGGCTCCTTCCGTCTGTTTCTCTTGAGTAGCAACCAACAGCCAAATCCTGAAACCCTTTTAACATCAATCAATAAAACTAGAATTTATGGCAAAAGAAGTGCCATAATGATCATCTTCCCACTTGCCCTGCTAAATATTTCTGCTTCATTAAGGGTTATAAATTTAACCTTATTTCAATTGGGAAAAATCTCTTCCATGTTCCAATTTGCTCTTCAAGTTCAACCAACCTAACACTTGTTGCTGAAAAGGGGCATGGGTCTGGCTGGCTAGCTCCCAAGGGAATCTGGTAGGTGGTAGCCACAGGTTAGCGCTGCTATTTGAAAAGTCGTAACACTTGGCCTCCAGAGGAATGCTAGGCCCACTTATGTACAATTACTAGCTGCACTGAAAATTTCTCACTGGGCCCTGTGCCAGAATCCTTCTCTGAGCAATCTTCCCACAGAATAACAATGCTCTAGCAGTACCAGGGAGGGATGCCAGAACCTACAAGCTGGACAATTGTGCCATCAACTTAAGGTACAAACCCAAAGAACCTCCAAGTTGGGGTGAGAGTGAGAAAAGATGATGGTAATCTGGTTAAGTTTCTGCTTACCTGAAGATTTATAAATGCTGAGTCCATCCTATGCACTCAATATCACCTTTTGATTCCCTGTACCCCACCCCCTATATTCATAAACCAGATTACTAGCTCATTTTGATTCTATTCACAAACTTATGCTATGACTGTAAAATGACAAAAAATGAATAGAATGTAGTTTCTGCTCCTAGGAGTTCAAAGGCTCTGGAGGAAACAAGTCATGAAAATAAATAGAGCAAGCTGCTAAGTACTACTGAGTGCACTGGAACACCATCTATGACACTGGTTAGGAACAAAATTAGGTTTGTTTATTTTATTCTTTTACAAGTATCTCCTGAGGACAGGAGGAAGCTGGAGGTGGTGGTGGCGGTTGTGGCGAACAACTTGGAAGTCCTAGTCTTAGCCTCATTCAAATCAGCTTTTTCCAAAGCTCATTTTCAAGAAACACTGGAGAATGACCATAAAGTTATAAAATCCCAGAGAAGAAGGGGTGGAGGATGGTAAACTGAGTAGAAAAAAATATCCCCTCCTAACTGCAACAGTTCATGTTGTTAATCACACCCTTCTTGGGTTACCTAACCCACTCTTCATTTTTCTCCCATCTCATTAAATCAGTCAAAAATATACAAGGTATCTACTAGTGATCTGACAATCATTTTAGGTTCTGCTTCCTCCCCTCATCCCTTAAATTGTGTTTCCTAGAGTTGTACACAATGTCTCTCACTCTACTTTTTCTAAACCATCTTGTTCATTCCTATGGCTTTAACTATCATCTATATGAGTATGAATCTCATATCTATAATTGCAGTTTTGTAGTCTTCCCTGAGCACCAAAACGTTAAGTGTTTACTGGAAACCTTAACCTCATTGCCCCATGGGAACCTCAAAACTCAGTCTACACAAGGCTAATTGTCTTTCTTCATAAAATTCACCACCTTCCTTTTGTAGCCTTCCCTCTCCCCATCTTGGTTAGAGGAAATGTCCCAATACACTCACTTGCTCAAGCAGAAACCTGGGCATTAGCCTCTACTCCTCTCTTCCCCTTCCTTCTATCATCCATTCAGTCTTATTAATTCTATCTCCTGAGTGTTTCTCAAATCTGCCCTTTCCTCTCTATCTTCACTGCTATAGCCTTACAGCCTTGTTCCAGTCCTTCATTATCTCTCTCCTGTACCAGAGGACCATTTGGCTACTCATATCCCCCACCAAACTTTAAGCTCCTTAAGAAGACAGTTTTCCTCATTTTTGAATTATGCCTGCCTTTTCTCCCACAATACTGCTGGACACAGTACTTCACATGTTTGCTGAAGAATAAATGGAGGCCCTGTGAAGTTTGATTACATACAATCTGCAGTTTTAACACTCTGGAATTTGTTTTATCCACTTTCCTCTTCTATAAGTGATGATTCTGTTCTTGTAATAATCTATTATTCTAACCTAAAGGCTATCAGAGATATAATTAATCCCACCAGTATGCTTTGCTACTAGAAAAAAAAAAGAGAGAGAGAGAGAGACCGCACTTTAGAAATAGAAGCCACCATTCTTTATAAAACAGAATTGTGCTGCTGCTGTTGTTTGCTTTAGAAGGAACTGTACATTACAGCTGCTGGGATAATTTTACAATAGACTGGACAAGGTACAGCTCAAAGCAGGACACAAACACAAGTCTCAAAGGGAAACAAATGCAAACAAGTACACAGCTGTGGGGCTCCAGGGACATTTCCCTATCCATGCTGGACTTGAGAGGGACAAAAGTTTAGAAACTAAAGTAAAACCCAGAGTAGTCACACATGCCCACCAGATGGTTGCTAAGTGCCAAAATCACACACCAATCAGGTTGGACTGTGTGCACAGAAAAGTCAATTCATTTTTCCTTATTGCTACTACACCAGGGGACTCAGTGCATTGGACACATTGTCTTTACTTGAACAATCCTTGGAGAGTTTATTTTCCTTTTTAAAGAAGGAAATCTGCCATTCCCACCTTATTCTGATTTTTTTGTTTTGTTTTGAGCCATTACGTCCACTCCCTTTCTTGGGTTCCCAAACAGCAGCCAGAGGTTCTGAGTCGGTAGGAGTAAGAGGAGAGCACCAACCTAGCCTCTCCCTGCTCAGGGAGAAGGCAAGTCCTAATAAATT